CTGCTAAATGAAAACCAGGAGCTACGAAAACAAGTTACAGAACTTCAACAAACATTGAACCAAGTGCTGGAAGGTCAAAAGAGGTTACAGGAACAATTCAGGCAGCATGTCCAACAAAGTCAGCAGCATAATCAAGAGAAAAATCTACGTGACCAATCACAGTCAAAGAAACAAATCCCGGAACAGCCGTCAGGAACAAACTCCACAGAGAACCATCGTATTTTGACTAGGTCACAAAAGCGAAGCGAACTGCAAAGTAACAATAAGGATGCCGAAAAAGATTCACAGAATGCACATAAGAAAAGAACCGTCCCCAAGCTTTCCGGAAAACCTCCAAAACTTCACAAAAGTGAAGAACTGAATTTATCATTCAGCAACGACGAAAGCGACACTACTCTACATACTAACGCAACTGACGATTTGTCTATGCGAAACTTTTCAGACGATGAAATGGCTGAGATAGACAGTTAGACAGCCTAAACCACGTGTGAACCAAGCTATACATGACCCCTGGCAACACCAATGGAATGACCCTACCTATCACTACGTAACTATTTATGGATCTGACACAAAATCATCAAACAACAAATGAAGAAATCGATCTGGAATTTCGTAACAGTGCCACTCTTCCCGAAATGCATGCCAACGATACGTTTCTTCAATTTGGAGGGGAAGAGATGAAAGTAGCCCCTCCACTGCCTGAACAGGCAGAGGTCGTACCGGGGATAGTAGACAAGGCCGTCAATAAACTAACGTCTCATCCCATCTCCGGTCTTCCTGTTGAAGCCATCGATAATACATCAGCTCAGAGGACTTTTGGAACGACTGCAGAACCACATCAACCACATCTACCAATAAACAGTATTGTGAGCCAACCAATAGGAAAGCAGCCGAACAACCTTCACACCACAAAAACAAACGAAGCAGCAGATTCGCCAAGCGCGAGGCCTTCCACGTCGACCCTGACCAGGGATGTTCCGGGCTTACCCGATGAGCCCCTGGCGGCAGTCGACGTGGATCGTACTACCCCCAAGGCAAGTACCATTTCAAATTCAATACCCCCCAGTCAACCCTTCACCACTACCGCGTCACCCTTTCCTGGTTTCAGCTATTCGAACAACCTCCACCTTAGAAGTGGTGCCTACGCTGCAAACTCGGGAAGAAACAATGAGGATAATCCCACAAAACGTTGCATCGCGGTACAATGGAATGTCAACGGCCTTAAGGAACGTTATGCAGAGTTGCAGCTAATTGTCGCTGAATACCTTCCTACTGTGATCGCCGTACAGGAGACACGACTCACCAAAGTACAGATTATGAACAAATTCCATCGTGCCGAGTATAAGTGGTCAATCCGACCAGGACCTTCTTCCAGCTCACAGAACGGAGTAGGACTCGCTGTCCATCACACAGTCCCGCATAAATTTCTTCGAGTGAACGCAGATTTACAAGCGGTAGCTGCCCAAGTGGATCACCCAATCAAAGCCACGTACGCATCAGTCTACATTCCATGCCACATGCCCCCTAAACAGTTGGAAATAGAACTGGAGCGTCTTGTGTCTGAACTACCACCACCCATTGTCCTTATGGGTGATTTCAATTCGCATAGCTCGCTTTGGGGCAGCTGTAAAAACGATGCAAAAGGAGCGATTGTTGAAAACATTACAGCTCAACACAACCTTACCATCCTCAATACCGGGGAACACACGCGACTAGACCCTAGAAATGGTGCTACCTCCGCAATCGATCTTACGATCGCATCACCAGAAATCGTTTCAAAACTACAGTGGCAGGTAGACGCAGATAACGGGACGAGTGACCATTTCCCTGTGATCGTCAGCTCATCAATTACAATGCCGAAAACGCGTTGTCGAAGGCGATGGATCTACGAACAAGCTGATTGGCCAGAATATGAGAATATTCTGCTAGAGCGTATCCACCGAAACCAAACCTACTCAGCTGAAGAACTAAGCGAGAATATCGTTTATGCAGCAGAACATTCAATACCTAGGACATTGGGAAGGATAGGCAACAGAGCAGTACCTTGGTGGAACAACGAAGTCAAAACAGCGGTAAAGACGAGGCGAAAAAAACTACGTGCACTTAAACGCATCAACGATGATGACCCCCGCAAACAACAAGCATTGAAGGAGTTCCAGATGGCGCGCAACGCATCGAGAAAAGTGGTCAAGGAAGCTAAGAAGACATCTTGGGATACATTCGTAGCTGGTTTCAATCCTCAAACACCCAGCAGTGAAATGTGGCGAAAGGTGAACGCTTTACGTGGTAGAAGAATCTTCATAAATCCAGTGCTAATCGTTAACGAAAATACAATCGATGATCCCGTTCAGATTTCAGAGCACCTGGCTAGTTTCTTTGAATCGGTATCTCAATTTCCCGAATCTGGTTCATCAGTCGATGGAATTGTGAATGAAGACCTCATCAATGACCAGAACGATCCATTCAACAAAGATTTCAGCGTGGAGGAATTCTTCTGGGCGCTAGACAAAGGAGGAAACACGTCAGTAGGACCGGACAATATTAGCTACCAAATGCTCCGTCACTTACCATTCCGTATCAAAATTCAAGTGTTAGAAGCGATCAATAGAATATGGTGTTCCGGTGCTATCCCAGAATCATGGAAAGAAGGGATAGTAGTTCCACTACCAAAACCGGGAAAGGATCCTAAAAAACTAGGCAATCAACGTCCAATCACGCTGTTGAGTTGCTTCAGCAAAACTATGGAGCGTATGATCAACCGACGGCTGGTGGAGTACATCGAGCAACACCGTCACTTTAATCAAAATCAATTTGCTTTTCGAAAAGGAAGAGGCGTGGATACCCATCTGGCTTCGCTAGAGAAAACTATCCGTCAACCTTTTGATGAAGGAAAGCACTGTGAGGTCTTGATGATAGACCTGCAAAAGGCATATGATAAAGCTAACAGAAATAAAATAACGACGACTTTGGTAAACTGGGGCATCAAAGGTCGAATGCTACAGTTCATTATGAATTTCCTAACCAACAGGTGCTTTCGGGTGGCTGTAGGTGATTGCTTGTCGTCACGAAAAACCCAGGCGACCGGAGTCCCACAGGGATCAATCCTTTCTGTTACATTGTTTCTTGTGCTGATGGAATCGGTTTTCGAGAAAATACCTAGAGGGCTACAAATTTTTGTGTACGCTGACGATGTTTTGATTTTGGCTATCGACGAGGATGCAAGGCAGGCTAGGCGGAAACTTCAAGAAGCTGCATCATCGCTTGGGATCTGGGCGGAACAAACACAAATGTCCATTTCGGCAGAAAAATCAAGCTTCATGCATTTGTGTAAGAAGCGTAAACACCCCGTATTACCCCCAGTCTTAATCAATAATACAGAGGTACCTGAAGTGCAGTATACCAGAATCCTCGGCGTTATCGTTGACAGAAGACTAAACTTCAAATGCCATGCAGCATCTATGCGACGATCCACGCAAAACATTTTGAATCTCCTAAAGGTTGTGGGCAACAGAAAGAATGGTGGTACGAGGAAAACTTTGCTACAGATTTCCAATGCGGTACTGCTACCGAAACTCCTTTTCGGGATGACATTTGTCAACGGCGGTAGTAGCACAAACATCCAAAATATGCAACCTCTCTATAACACGGCTATTCGAGAATCCTCTGGGGCTTTCCGAACTAGTCCAATAGACTCCATTATGGCTGAATCAGGACAACTTCCTTTTGAACACGTATTGGTCCTTAACGTTATCAGCAAAACCGTCCGCATGACAGAAAAAATCAGCAAGCTTTTTCCTCCATCATCCGTAAATGAAAACTCAACAGACAGCTGTTTTCCATCAATAAACAGAGCAACAGCGGCCTACACAAAACTCACTGGTAAACCGCTCCCGAAAATCGCCACACTTCACCGCATCGGAGATAGAGCGTGGAACGCCCTATGTCCCAACATCGATTGGTGTATAAAATCGCAATACAAAGTTGGTGACGCACCTGCCAAAGCACAACAGCTATTCCTAGCGACGTGCGCAACAAAGTACATGACATATCAACACATTTTTACTGATGGGTCAGTTACTCATGAACACGTTGGATTCGGGATCGCCTGTGATAATATAAATATTAGCAGAAACCTTCCAAAGGAATGTTCGATCTTTTCGGCAGAAGCCATGGCAATCCTGTATGCCGTCACAAACCTTTGTTCGGAAAACTCAGATGCTGTCATTTTCACGGACTCCGCCAGCGTTCTACAAGCACTACAAAATGGACAATCCCGTCATCCGTGGGTGCAGGCTATTGAGGAAGGTATAGCTAACAAATCAGTGACCTTTTGTTGGATACCAGGACACGTAGGAATAGCAGGAAATGAGAAAGCGGATGCACTAGCCAAAGCAGAAGACTCGGAGGAAGAAAATGGTGGTGGAACGATTAGTGAGGTGCCAAGTGAAGATGTTATTCGTAGCTGTAAAATCAAAATCCGCGAAGACTGGGACCACAAGTGGAGAAACAATAATACATCATTCCTAAGGTCCATAAAATCATCAACTTTGAAGTGGCCGGACAGACACGGGGCGACCGAAAGGAGAGCACTCAGTCGCCTTCGCATAGGTCATACGAAGCTAACACACCAACACTTGTTCAACCAAGAGAGTAATCGTTGTCAAGCATGCGGGGAAGCAGTAACTGTGCCACACATACTTCTAGATTGCAGAGCATACGAGGTTCAACGACAGGAGTGCGGCCTTCGATCAACAATTGGAGATATCCTGAGCCCCGATGAAAGAGAAGAGAAAAAGTTAGTCAAATTCTTAAGACACACTAATTTATTAAATTTGCTGTAACATAGCGATCTAAATTGAAATAAACACTACTTCTTCATGGGATGAATGACCGTAACAGCGGTTAAAGTCCCAAAAAAAAAAAAAAAAAAAAAAAAAAAAAATTTCTGTCACAGTTTTAATACAACATATAAACTAACATATTTTTTTTTAACATTTCAGGCATGACGCTCAACAGAGATCCGGACGTTGTGTGTTTCAAACATTGCGGTAGAAAATTTTTCGTATTTTCAGTTCCCTCGCAATGCCCAGTTTGCATGCAAGCCTTTGCACAATCGGACGAATTCCTTCCCTTCACGTAAGTTTTTAAGACCCACTTTTTCAAGCCTAATACCTTTTGATTCCATCAGATTACCCTACCCATTTGTGAACGCAACGCAGTCTCCATGTTCGGTCGTTCTTCGATCGTCCTGTGGCGATTTTCTCAGCAACTTTCAAAACAGCACCAACCTGCACATAGCGCTAACGGATTCCTGTGGTTCGATAGTTGAATTCGATAGTCCTGGTTTGCTCTGGACTTTGTCCAAACAGGTGGACAAAGCCCAATGGCGGCAATGTTTGTTGATCATGCAAGTACCAGAATCGTGGTACAACGAGTGGGATCAAACACTCCGGGACGTAATAGAGAAGGGAGATTGGAGGCGAAGGAAATACGATGAAGATCGGATGAATTGCTATAGTTTTGTGCTTGACTTTCTTCGGCTCTTGAAGTATGAGGACTATGCAGAATTTGTTAATGATAGGTAAGAAATGTATATTTTAATTTTCTTAAATGCTAATTGAACTGAATTTTCTGATTCTGTTTTTAGGGGAACCTTCTCCACCAATTTTGTAGTGCCTAAAACTGCATACGCAGCCAAGTATATAACCATTTTCAGAAGAATCAAAGAATGTGGATTCTGGTCAGAAATAATCAATAATTGTGATCAACAGGAAATATAGTAATCTAATACAGATTATGTAACTATTGAATCTTCTCAGACTTGTTGTATTACTGCATTAGAAAAAAAAAACCCTTCCTCAAAACTTCGAAATCGCATTCTCGACGTTCGATACTTTTTTAGCGGACTATTAATTATATGTTCTGTAAACATAAATTCTCTCTTGTGGTCAATTATTTCGGCAATAGCTTTTGAAAGCTTGTCCTCACTTAAAATTTATTTAACAAACTGTTATTTTTTATCACACGTGGAACATCAGTCAAAAGCTTCAAAAGCGTGCCTTTTTGTGTTGATAATTTTGTCGTACGCAGTGAAAAGTGAATTTTATTAAAAGTTGTCAGTGAAAATGGACGGAATTTTTGAGCGGATCGTACAGTGATAAAATTGCTTGTATTTTTTACCCCACTCAATCCCATCGGAATGATGAATTTCGCGAGGTATCAATAAATTTTTTATACTTGTTTGCAGGTAGCTAATCTCTTTATAAAATAAATGCACGTCTATCTTTTTCCAGGAATCCCCCGAATAGTGCAGTGGGTGAGGAAGTCCACTTACCGCGATGTCTTGGTTGTTTTCGTGCCAATTGAGCAGATAATTTGTAGATGAATAGTGTATAGTTGATTTTAATCATAAACAAGAAACCACCTAAGTTGGTTGAAGGTCAGAAATTTCTGAAAAAGCTGATTTTTAGTAATTTATTAAATGAACAAACATTCCGTAATATTTTATCGCAAGAGTGGCTTGACTACCGCGTGCTCATAATCTGTCGAAATTGCCAATACGATTACCGAGCGCTCAGCTGTTCTAATCTCTTCAAAAAATATACTGAGTTCGGTAAAAATAAGTTAGCTCAATTCACCTCAATTCACCTTGTATACAAATTGCATGCTGTAAGAACTGTTAGATGAAACAGCAAAAAAAGCTTATCTTCCATTTAATTCCACTTAATTAATTTTGGTATCCATGACAGATACGTATTACGACTACAATGTGCAGTCTTCATCAGTGTCATTCCCACTAAAGACTTATCAAAAACTAACCCCCTTGAGTACTCATCCCCTAGGTAAAAATGTCAAGATCACAGGTATAAAAATGAAACTACAACGTGTATTGTTCAAGATCCCCCGATACAAAATATCACTAGTGTTTAAGACTATTACGGAAATAGTCGCCATTTTCGAATGCAAACGGTATACAGTGTTGTGGTAGATAGAGTTGGTGTGAAATAATAATGCTGTTGAAGTTTATTTAGGTTGATGAGATTGATATAAATGCCAGAGTTGATTAAATCATTGAGGTTTCTGGCTATAGAACCAAGTGTATATGTTGATTGTATCAAAATGGTCTACTCTTGATGGACGAAAAATAAATAAATAAATAGATTGAAATAACTAAGTAGATGACGCAGTTGACATACATGGAAGTTATTAGCAATATTGAACTGATGGTAATAGTGATTGACTACAGCATTGTAATTTATAGTAATATTCAAAATGTTGTAAATGTAAGCAATTTTGAAGATGATTTTAGAACCTTAAATTGGCGCATATTTTTTTTTTAATTCATCGTAAAGGTAATGTTGACGATAAAGTTGGGCTTACAGGTAATGTTTCGGGAGAAGCACGAGGATGGCGCCTGGACAGTCACTGCAACAAAATGCGTGTACTGTAAGGGAATTCCTCATGGCATCTCGTCATGCCCGGTGTCCAAACAACGCGGGGAGAAATTACAACGCTCACTTAAGGAACGTTCCCGGCAGTCTTTTGCAGAAATGCTTAAGACGGCCACGCCATCGACCAACGACAAAAATCCCTTTTCTCTTTTGTCAGATGACGAGACTGACTCTGACTTGGCTGAGGAGGGAACTTCTTTCCGTTTTTCAGCCCGGAAACGAAAATGCATCCGTTCGCGGAAAGTTGACAATGAAGAACCTCAAATCAGCTTGCCCAAATCAAGGAGTGGTGGAAAAAAGGAAGTTTCTACTCCTCCTGGATTCAGAAGAACTGACTATACCCAGGATTTTCCACCTCTCCCGGGGGCATCCAAAACCCCTGATGTCCCATTTTTAAGAACAGAAGCCCCTTCTTCATCTGGGTTGTTCTCATTTGATAAAATTGTGGACGATATCCTCAAGTACCTGAATATTTCTGATCCTCTCAAAAGCATTGTTCTGGCAATGCTTCCTACTGTGAAGACCCTCTTGAAGCAATTGACATTGAAGTGGCCCCTCATTGCAGCAATCATTTCCTTCGATGGATAATTTTCCAAACGAGGTCGGAGATTTGATCACTATTCTACAGTGGAATTGTCGAAGCCTTATTCCTAAATTAGACTCTTTTAAGTTTTTAGTTCACAATAATGATTGTGATGCATTTGCTCTTAGTGAAACTTGGCTCTCTTCAGATATTGATCTTCCTTTTTATGATTTTAACATTATTCGACTGGATCGTGAGGATTCGCGTGGAGGAGGTGTACTTTTGGGGATCAAAAAGTGCCATTCCTTCTATAGAGTGAATCTTCCACAATTTCCAGGTATTGAAGTTATCGCATGTCAGGCTATTTTTAAAGGTAAGAGCCTTTGTATTGCTTCTGTTTATATTCCTCCTAGAGCCGTTGTTAATCGAAAACAACTTTCAGATATATGTTCGGTACTTCCTGCTCCACGGTTGATCATGGGAGATTTCAATTCCCACGGTACAGGCTGGGGGGAACTGTATGATGACAACCGTTCTACTTTTATATATGACATCTGTGATAACTTCAATATGACAATACTTAACAATGGAGAAGTAACACGTTTGGCTGGACCATCCTCGAATGGAAGTAAATTAGGACCTCACACTTTGCTCTAACTCATTATCGTTGGATTGCACGTGGAATGTGATCCAGGATCCCCACGGTAGTGATCACTTGCCTATCAAAATTTCGATTGCCAGTGGGTTCAATCCGTCGGAATCCGTTAACGTCGCGTACGACCTCACCCGTAATATCGATTGGACAACGTTCAAGACCGCGATAGAGGAAGCCGTGTCGTCGGTAGAAGGGCTTCCACCGTTGGAGGAATATAACTTCCTCTCCAATCTGATCTTGGACAGCGCGCTTCGAGCTCAAACTCGGCCGGTTCCTGGTACGTCTTTGCGTAGGAATCCTCCTTCCCCTTGGTGGGACCACCAATGCACAGAGGTTTATCGTAAAAAGTCCGACGCGTTTAAGCTTTTCCGGAAACGTGGAACACCCGTGTATTTCGAAGCGTACTCGGCTCTTGAACGCGAACTCAAGAGCCTCATCGAAGCCAAGAAACGCGGATACTGGCGGCAATTCGTGGACGGATTATCGCGCGAAACGTCGATGAATACGCTTTGGAACGCGGCGCGAAGGATGCGTAACCGGTCTTCGAACAACGAGAGCGAGGAGTACTCAGATTCTTAAGTTCGCACGAAAAGTTGGCTTTTGCTAAAAAAGAGCAAATGGCTTCTGTGTTCTTGGATATTAAGGGGGCTTTTGATTCAGTATCGGTTGAAGTCCTTTCAGACAAACTCCACGCATGTGGCCTTTCTCCATTAATTAATAACTTTTTGTACAATTTGCTGTCAGAGAAACATATGAGCTTTTCTCATGGAAACTCTACAGCTTCTCGATTTAGTTACATGGGTCTCCGCCAGGGCTCATGTTTAAGCCCCCTTTTGTATAATTTCTACGCCAGAGAAATTGACAATTGTCTAAGTGACAACTGCACGCTGAGACAACTTGCAGATGACGGAGTAGTGTCTATGACAGGGCCCAGAGAGGCCGACCTGCAAGGACCCTTACAAGATACCTTATAGCGAATTCGTTTATTATTCAGTTCCAACCTGGATCGGGTATCAAGATTGGGACTGCTTGTTTTCTGACAAACGTCAGTTTTATCGTTTGTTTTTAAAACCCAGCTCAGGTTGAGGTTCGCACTGACAAAAAGTTCGGTTTCGCACTGGGTTGGAACTGGTTCCAACCCCGATAATAAACGAATTCGCTATTAGACAATTTGTCTACTTGGGCTATTCAGCTAGGTATCGAATTCTCCACGGAGAAAACTGAGTTGGTCGTTTTTTCTAGGAAGCATAGCCCAGCACAACCGAAGCTTCAACTTTTGGGTAGGCCGATCACTCATTCTATGTCTTTCAAATATCTTGGGGTCTGGTTCGATTCCAAATGCACCTGGTTATTTGTTGAAGCACAATGCATAAAATGAGCGTATTGCTTTCTTTTTCAGTCGAAACATTTTCTTCTATTAATCTCTTCAAAATTTACTAAAATTTATCCACGATCAAAAAAAGTCGAAAATCATTTCATAATCTGCCAACATTTATGGTCAACGAATAGCATTAATTTAGGATGCAAGATGGAGACTACCGGTTTTTAAAACAGCTTCAGATAATATGAGTATTTTTGGAAGGGATCCCTTCAATGATTTTGACTTGTATGCGGCTCCCCTTAACAGCAAGATCATATTTAGTTACCGATATGCTTTCACATGAATGACCAAAATCGGAGGGATGAGAATCTTCTTCCAACGATACGCTTCAAAAAATCGAATAACACAATTATATTACATTATTGTAAACTATAATTGTATAGTATAATAATATAATATATTAAATTATAGTAAAATTATACATCAACATTCAAACCATTGATGGACAGTGTCCGAGTTGAATTATTCACATATTTTGCTCAAAACAACATCCAAATTATAAAAACTTTTTTTTCCAACCGTGCATTCTTTTTACAGTCTAGACCCACGCATCAGTTCCGAAAATATTCTAAAATCCCGTGCTACATCTGTCAGCCAGAAACGATGTCGGTCGAAGTCGAGATAACAGGTGTGGTAATGAAAAGCTAGTCGTCTCTGTCGTTCCCTCGCTTCTGTGGGGAGCAGTGATTTTGACGTTTGTTTACTGCTGTGCAAGAGCAGTGTAAGAGCAAAAGAGACGGCGAACTCGTACAACCGGATCTATGCCGTGCCACTTTGACATCGATGGGCGGACGCGAACGTCGGCGATGATCGGTCGTTTCTCTTCGATGTTCGACTAACCAGACATCGTCGTCGTCGTCGTCAAACACAAAAAGCCAGCAGCAAGTGAAGGTAGAGTCATCATCATCATCGGATCGAAGAAAAAGTTCGCGTTTCCAACGAATTATCGCGTAAAATTATCAAGTTACGGTGAGATATTCGACCCAGGATTATCGGAAAGGTGAATATTACGATCGACTGAGGATTAATTCGGTGCTGTTAATTGGATTGGCACTGGAAAAGTATGGATTTACGAACCTTTAATAGGAAGCTGATGAAAAAAATAGTTTCGTGAAAAGCGTGTGTTCATCTGTATGTGTAATTGCTACCTGACCATTTTTGTGTGTGGATTTCCCGTCGATCCGTCATCCATCTCCATATTTTTGCATTGTTGGTATGTAGTGCGAATATTATTATGTGCTGCCACAACAGAACCAAGTGATTTATATTTTCCAATAAAAGCTCGTGATCAGTTTGACGCCATGAATACACCCATCGGAAAGTTTACCCAAAGATATCCAGTGGAGGAGGAATTTTTCAGATAAGAGATTCAGCAAAGCGAGAAACAGGAAGAGGTTTTGGAGTTGTGTGATTTTGCAAAAAAAAGAAAAGAAAATGAAGTGGTTTTGCTTGTCAATCGATAGAAACTGCAAGGTTCGCTGTGTTAAAAACGGGAAAAATCTTATCAATCTTAATTTGTCATAAATTCTCAACATTGAACAGAAAATCTGGAACAAAAAATTATTAAAATGTGAGATAATTGATTTGAGAGGAAAAAAACACGTAAAAGCGAGCAGACAAAGAAGAAGACCTTCTGGAACGATGATGAAGGAATAGGAAAAAGATGACGGAACGCGAGTGAAAGAGACGGCTTGCAGCTACAAGATCGTAGCGCAGACACGGTGGGTTCGAATGGCGTGTTTACGACTTAATTATTTAACAAACGAAAAAAAAGCCAAATATGCGAAAGTACGAAAATACCTTTGAGAGACATGATTGTAGTACCGTTGTACTCCTTCAATCCAGTACTAGATTAAAGGAGTACAACGGACTACAATCATATCTGTCGGAAGGTATAACGATTTTAAATTGGCTAATTACTTGACTGCCCATTGGTCCCAAGTACATCTATAAGCGTATGCTATTCTCGTACTACATGCTTAAAAACATTGCAGTACCCATTAGGATTTCCATACGATTTCCTGTAAATATGTCCCTAAACGTTCAAACTAATCTAGACCTTCAGACGATTGAGAATTGTTCTGTTCGCGTCCTTGCAACTGTTGGAAGAAGGATTGTTAGCTCGACATTTACTTAAGAGAAATACAGAGAACTTAACGACCCCTCATAAGTGCCACTGTGCAACGGTGGGGGAGGATAAGCCAAAGGATACAAAGTTACACATTTTTCAAGTGGACGGGAATGGTTTAAACCCACGACCTTCTACTTGCTGAGTGCACTGAACCATCGAGCCCGTCCAAATTGGACAGATGTGTGACAGATTATAAATTTAAACAATCTTACTTGTTTCCGTTTTGTGTTTGGCAACCGTAACATCGTAGCACAATCATGATAACCAGGATACTGTTATTATTGCGATACTTACAGGATACTGGTATTATTGCGAACAAATTTAACATAATACCTCACATTCCGACAGGTGCTTCAAACATTTCTAAATTCCGTGCACGCAAAATTCAGCATATTTCAAGCCGAAAAATGGATAAGGTTATAAGTACCATTGATCGGTTCTCTTAATCGACTTTCTCTTTCGCTAATCTGAAACTGTTTTTCGCCGGAAGGAGTAGGGGAACTAGGGGCAAAAAGGTCACCCCAACGATAGCGCGTTTTAATATGCGATTCTGTGAATATTTATAGGAGTTCGTGAAACGAATTGTAAGTTTATAACCATGTCTCCATGTATCATCATTGAAATTAAAATTAAACCCCATCAAAAAAATGGTAATGATTTTTTCAAAATGTCATGTCAGACCTGCTCTAAAAAATGCTACGGGGCAAGAGGGCCACTCTTATGGGACAAAAAGACCATATGTCTAAAATGAAGTGAAACTCATAAATGTTCATTTCTAAACAACAAATTACTATTCTTAGGTATGACAGCAACTGTGCTTTTATTGTTTATTCCACTAAAATATTGTTTTTTTTTTTGTTTATCAAAAACACATAAACCATGTGCGTCAAAGAATTAAAATGGAAACTATTTTTAATACTATTTTATACAGTTTTTTTTTTCAAAATTTCACAAAAACAATGTATATTGGAAACATAAATGCCCAATTGTGCTAATTTTTGAACAGTTTGTAGGGGTGGCACTCTTGGAGCGTAAATAATAAATAAACGATTCGAATACACTTAAATCGATGTAAATTTCATTTTCATATGCAGCAATATTGATTATAACTTTGCCACTTCAGCTGAAACGCGATGTTGGGAAAAATGCGGGATTTTAAAAATTGAGATTGAGTGGCCACCCTGTGATAACTTGGCTACTAAACCGTTTCTTTTTCATATTAGGTGCTATAACAGCTTTTTATTTACTGTGTGTTGAAAATATCTGGAAAAACCTTTCGGTTCTATAACTTTCCCCTGAAAACCATTCCCCGGAATGCACCATTCCCCAGAATGCACCATTTCCCAGAAAAGCATTCTCCAGAATGTATCATTCCCCAGAAAAGTATGACATGTATTAGATTTACTATTTTTGTTTATTATAGTCCCTCCTGGAATCTTCTTTCGTGTATATTAAAAGAAGAAAAAAACTTCTTAATGGGTCAAGGGGTTTTAGGAGACCTTAATGGATCAATGGGTTTTCCCTTCTTTGAAAATATAAGAAAAGGAAATAATTAATTCTTTGGATATACGATAAAGAAGGGAATATTCCCTTCTTTGAAGATATAAAAGAGAAAATAATTAATTCTTTGGATGTATGATGAAGATATACAAGGAAAATATATAATCAATAGCTTTTCGCAAGGGATTCGGGGTAATGACCATTTGGGATAATAACGAGTGGAAAAATGTTATTAATCGGTAGTTCAACGTTCCATGTACCGATTTTTTAATCCATCACGAGAAATTCTTCAACTCAGGTCGAACAATTCTTCGATAAGGTTTAACAGTTTCCGACTGATTGAATTGGATTGCATAATAGACCCTTTGACTTACTAAATGATGAACGAAGTGCTCGAAAACTTGAAGGTTGTCATTTTATAAAGAGCTAAAAAATGGTTTGGAATTGATAAATACATAGTTTCATAAAAGTAAACTTAGTGTATTATCAATAGTAAAAAAAAAGAAAAGTGAAAATTACTAATTTCATCATCTTTTCTGGAGAATGGTACATTCTGGGGAATGGTTCATTGCAAAGCATCAACATTGCTTTTGTGAACATTATCCGTGTTCAATGAGAGCTCGAAACAAACCGCTATAGCTTGCGAGCTCCTTTAAAGCATTTAAGGAGTATTCACACATATCCGATGTGGCTTAGGTACTAGTTTCTTTCTCACACCGCCACAAGTTTTGTGCCCAAAATGTACCTCGGGCCAAAACAGCCGATGAGATTTTTCATAGCATTCCCGTTTTAATTATTAAACTTGACAAGCCACAGTGCTAGTTGTTAGTTTAGTACTTAAACTAGAATTTTGAAACAAAAAATCCCAGAATTAAGAGTGGAGTAGGTATGAAAATCCAAATCGAGCGTTTTGCCCGGGGTGCATTTGTCCCCTGTTCTTCCCTGGTATTCATTCAGTCAAATACGAGCAACTTCGCAAGATTTAGTGTGAGCAAGTTCTGCTTAGGGAAGATGCATAACAGACGTGTAATTTTAGGGTGACTAGACATGTAGAAAAATACACTATCAGAGGAAGGCGGAATAAAGTTGGTGCTTCGTTAAAGGCAAACAAACGTTAAACGTTTCATGAAGCACACACTTATAAATACCTAATCTCACACGTGACGGAATCCATCTTTGACATAAAGGATGAGACGTAAAAAAACGTCATGTAAAGTTAAGTGCTCCGAGACTGAAAAGTTCGAAAGTTCGTTTGATTGAGCTGAATTTCGCGTCTTTTATGACTCAATTTTATGTCAAAATTGACGCTCGTATATGAATATGTAAGTCTCAAAGCACATAAATTTACATCAATTTTCTTAAGTGTGCACCAACTTTGGACCCCCTGTCCCTTGTAGCGTATTTTCAACATGACTGCTACGTCTTTTGTGCATCTTCGGCATCTTCCTTTAGGCCGCGAGTCGACTACGAGAAATAATAATAAATATAATAAAAATCCCTTTAAATTTTGTCAGCTTGGCTCCTCTCATTCACTTAGAAGCCCAAATCGACTCGATACTTTAACGTACACTCAATTCTGTTTTTACTCGCGTAATCGCTAGTTGCATCAAAGTTTAGTGAAACTTGTTCTAAAAATCAGAAAAAATAATAATGAAAAATAAGGTGGTATTGACATTTATGTACACACCCCAAATGAGGACAATTTGAAAAATGAAAATCGCGTAAAAAGCATTGAGCGTCTTCTTTTCTGAAATCCTTCTTGTAACGTTTAAACCAGAAGAGTCAGTTCGAACTGGTAGAATTTGCTTGGAAAATATATCGCGAGTAGTGTCTACCTATTCGAAGTCGTTTGTATTTGGCGGAATGAACAGACAGGCGTTAAGCACAAAATGTAGGCTGGGAACGTGTTATAAATCTAAAAAAAAAATAAAAAAATTTAATAGTTTGTTAACATAATAATAGTTGTTAAAATTAAATTTGAGTTATTACTTTGCAAGAAAATGTGGCCCTTCATGGAATTAATTGTACCAGCAGCTGAGCAGTTTCTTCTCGTCAAACTGAACCCACCGTGCTCTCGCATCAAGTGAAGTGCTGATCACACTCCAACACTCCAAGAGTGCATGTTCGTGTATTGGCATGAGTGAGAGCTTATTTTCTGATATATTTTGTATGCTACGTCGTACAACAAAAAAACGAGATAGCAGTACATCGTTGTGCCGAGTGAAGTAGCAAAATAAAGGAAAGAAAAGTGACATTTTCATGAATGAATGTAGTGCGCACTTAAAAATGATTATTAAATTATCGGAACGGGACAACGAAAAATTCCTCTTTGTTTTTTAGCAGCTCAGTGTGCGAATGTTTAAGTTTGT